CAACACCACAATCAACTCACGTGCATAAATACTTTACATTCTGCATGAATAAGCAAAAGAATTTAACTAAGACACATAAGATATTCATGATCCATAAATTAACACATGTCATCAATAATATATATTATTGTCGACATGGCTATCTAACTCACACAAGCATGCAAAAAAAGTAAAATCTCTTTTTTCTTAAAAAAAAAATACGCATACAAACACATCACACAAAAATTAAAAATATTAGGCAGTTAGACAATTTATAATACACCCCCAAACTTAAATTGAACAGTGTCCATAATGTAAAATTAGAGATAAGTGAGGAAGACTTCCCTGAATTATCTACATTGCCTCAGTTTGCTTCTCATTTTTCATCTATAAAAATAAAAAATGTAACAATTATCCATTACATCAAACCATTAATTTTGAATTGTTATATCCTGTAACTTCCCTAAAATAGAAACTAACATTGATTAAATGTGTGGAAGATGATGAATAGTGCAAGTTGTTTTTGTCGGTTTTGAATATTTTCCCTTTTTCCTCTCTTTTTTCTCTCTTTTGAATTGGAGGGCAAATGAGAGATTTTAAATTCCTCCCTGCATGCTCCACTATTTAACACCGCCTATGGCAGGCCAGTATATTCTTCGTTTGGGCTTACAGTTCATGTTTTGGGTCGTTACAACCCTCAGGCCTCAAACTTAAATGGGCCCTCACAGCTGAGCACGAGCGAGAGCGAGCGAGAGAGACGAACAAAATGGGAGAAGTGCTGCGAAATTGAACAAATCTTTGATCGGACAATTGAACAGAACGAAAAATTAATCGTACAAATTGGAGAAGTGAAGAAGAAGTAGAAGAAACAAAAGAGTATGCTGCCTACCTCTTCATCAACAAAAGGGCGTTCGGGTTCTAATGCCCGACCCAATTCTTTCCTCCCTCAGTACCTCCGCAGAATAGTCAAGGTTCATTTTCCTACTCACACATAAATGGAGAAATATGAAGCTGTTTATGATTCTATTGATTTCATATAGATCTGATAATGATCCTACTCGTAAAATCTTTTTTGAAGATGTCGCATAATTCGCATCTCACTGCATTAATCAACATGTTTGCGCTTATGCATTTGGTTATGAAAGATGAAAAAATGTTGACCGATTAGGAGTTATGTTGTTTATTATCATTTTTTTCAGATGAAGGACGAGAATTTAGTTAAGTGAATAAAGAAATGCATCCTAGATTCCCATGCGTTCTTCTGTTTATTTGCATTGTTCCTCCTAGCTTTGTTACTTGTGTTTATTCAATGCTGGCATTGTGATTTTTTGAAGAATTGAGATTGTTACTTGTGTTTATTCAATGAGTTTTGCTATGTGTAGGTGTCCATAATCGACAAATGGCACCCCCTGATTGGGGTGGGCACCTGGGCTCGATAGGGGGGTGCCATTTGTCCATTATGGACACCCTTGTGGATTTCACTGCGTACACGTAGCAAAATCCTTCATAAAGACCTATTATTCTACTCCACTATTCTCATTAATTATGAGACGGGTGACTGGTACTGTTTCCATTTTTATCACGGGTAAATTACAAGCATATAGAGTACCAGATCAACACCTGACGATGACTAGGTTGCCTTTAAGTCAAATAGACTTATTTCTAGCTGCCTGGATTTTTCAATGTTCTCACCGTCCACTTTCATCAAGCTTTAAATGATATTGCTGAGTCGATTAACAATTTGTTCTTGGACAATTGATGACATAGTTTCCCTAGCTATATTATCCTTGCTGCCACTGACACTGGAGAAATATGTCAGATATCCTTGCTAATTAGGCTTAGTTTCCATTGATGGAATTTGAGATTTGCTAAGGACGTTCATTTCAATATGCTGTGATGTTATAAGACACTCAATGATTATCTGTTAATCTTGTCGCCAAGGAAGTTATAATCTAAA